TAAGAATATTTTTTAAAAAGAATAAAATAATTATAGTAGATTAAAAAATTAATCTAAAAAACCACGTTTTTTAAGTAAGACTAAAAAGCACAAAAAAATTTACTAGATTAAAAAATTAATCTAAAAAACCACGTTTTCAAAAAGCAAAAAATAACCTTAAACGTGGTGCGCATGGAGATTGTTGGGAAGAAGTGAAATACAAATGAAATAGATGCGCACCAGGTTTAAGGTTATTTTTTGCTTTTTGAAAACGTGGTTTTTTAGATTAATTTTTTAATCTAGTAAATTTTTTTACATCCTAGCTATGAAGGTTTTGCTCTATACCAACAAAGATTGACAACCCAGAGGCAGCAATGTTCTTGTTCATTGGGGCCAATCAGTAGGAAGAAGGACTCCAATGTTATTTACATATATTTGAGTTCTGTCAGTGGTCAAGTGCACACATAAATTTCTGCAAATAAGTACAAGAAATGAATGTGAGCTTGAAGAAACTAATTAGCTGCTACTATTCTGGCAAAATTTACTCAGAAAATCTTTCTGCAAGAACTTGCCCACACAATATTCATGGCAAAGTAAATCAAACATGTCAAACCCACTCATTTCAATTTTCATATATTGTTAACATGTTATCATGCTCAAATGATGCATGCATAAGATTTGTGCATGCTCAAAAATCATAAATTGTAATGCTGAAATGACCCCGTGCTCATGAGTCCCCTTGCTAAAATGTTCAAAGGCTTGAATGTTGCATGCTCAAGTGTCACACACAGAAACCATATCATGCTTGCTAAAATGTCAGGTAACCTATGCAGTATATACAGTATATTATTTTTTAACCCTCCTCACCTTTCAATTTTGAATCAGATTAGATTAATCTGAAAAAGTAATGTATTTTATCTACACATTTTCAATTTAAGATACACCTTTCCTATAGATGCTTGAAAGTCTGTTCAGATTCCCAGCAGCTGTGCCACAATTAATGTATTATTGTATTTTAAAAAAATTTTCGTTTTTTTATTCTTGTATTTCAAGAATTGTGCATGCATAAATGACAAGGTAACACTAGAATGTCAATTTCTTAAGCTGTCAATTAATGTCCTGTTTTTATTATGTTCTTCATGGTTTGCTAATATATAGGTGTTATATACTCTTCCATTAACCCTTGTTTGGCAAAGTTGGGATATTTTTGAAAATATTTTTGCCTCTGAGCACTGGAAATGTAAGAAATCCTACTTTTGTACCAAGGCCTACGTTGGGAAAAGTTTGATATCCTATCTAATCCTGCAGAAAATTTTGAACAACAAAAAAATTCCCTCACTGGGTGGCATTTTTCCTGCATTCATAACACAGGATTTTCATTGCAGAATCCTAAAAACAATTGAAAATTAGCCTCCCAGATTTTTCCTGACTCAGGCCTTCTCAACCTAGGAGTGCTGAAGTTCCAATTACAGGGAGATGATGATATGAAAATATTTTGTGAAATTTCCAGATCAACAAATTGGCACGAAATGTGCAATTTCTACATGATGTATTGGGTAGATGGCGGAAATCTCTTGAAGCAGGTGCATTGCACATCAGCTGGTCCTCCATCGTTTTCTTGGTCATGGTATGGACTGAAAAACATCCCAAAAGACGCCTCACAGCTTGACGAATGAAACATCATTTTTGAAGAAGAACATTTTAATGATGTGAACATACATGGAAGCAGGTGACATCATATTAGATCGACATTTCTGGTCGGTTATTAAAATTGATGTTTGGATTCAAGGAAAAGTCCCAGTACTTAAAATACTTTTGCATTGCCTTGTTCATCTGCGCAAACTCATGATTTTGAAGAAACATAGTGGAAATGAACTGCCAAATTATGTGCAAGCATAGCACATGTGTACAATACTTCAGGACCATGTTTGGTTTGAAAAGTGTACATGGTTTGGCTCAGAAGTCAGAACTGCTTCAAATCAAGCTGGTTGACATTGTGGTGTTCTCTTTTGTAAGAAAAGCGCAATTTTCATTTAAAGTTGAATTACATTTGGTAGCTCAAAGAAAATATCTGGCTCAAATGCAACAGTTTAAAGACCAATAACACAGATACTTAGAAGGCCTGAAAATATGGGCATAATACTCATTATGCCAAAATCTGCCATTAAACCAGTACAAAATATATAAGCTATATATTTCTGACCCAGAAAAATTTTTAGAGGAGCAAAAAAGATTTTCATGCACTATAAATATGTTTAAAAAAATGTCCTTTGATTCTTTCTGGTGAAATAAAAATTAGGGCTAGGTTTAGGACACAGTATCCACCAATGAAAAAGTGAATATATAGAACATGAATCGAAGATCAATATGATTCTTTTGTAATCTTGACCCCTCATCTCAGGGAATCTGAGAAAAGATGGCCATCAAGTTGCCTTTTTTTTAGAGGAGTACTTGAGTACATTCTATGGCTTATATAACACTCCTGTTTCATGTAAGTACTGTAATAGTATACAGGGGACCCTTGAAAAAAGGGACCCTTGAAGTTTTCATTTTTGTTTTTGTTCTTGGGTGAAATTTTTCTGAGGGAAATTTAGAAAATGCCAGGATTTTCAACGACCTTGCCCTGCACACACTGTTGAGGTTTTTTTCAAATTCCATTCTTGAGTGAAACCAAAATGTGCAAAAAAAAGTCAAACTTTGCCGCAGAAGGGTTGAATTCTATTAAAAAAACCCTTATTCTGTTCAGCATAGAACATTTTGGCAGAAAAAATCTCCATATAGAACCAATAAATACCTTCGCAATACAATGGAAAATAATTCTACACTGTTCAAAGTTTAAGAATTCATCTCAAAATTTCAAATTGGTGCATTTCCGCATCACGGCATTTTGAAATCGGTATCGCCATGATAACTTCTGCATGCATGTAGCGACAAGAAATGCGTTGGATATTCCTTCAGTAGTGACACCTAGGATATAAAAAAATGAACTTAATTGCACGACTTTGATCTACGGGATGCTGATGCCGGGGGCCAACATTGAAGGAATAATTGTTGTCATGCGGTGCAAATATCAATAAATCTCGTCTCGTTGTCAAACATCGATGCTTCTCTGATGGGAAAATCTGCGACCCAAGCAATAAATCATAACCATTATCCAGGTTGACAGTAATTGAACCCTCAAAGTTCAATATCAATTTGTCACCAGCAGAGAACCCATAAATTCATAGCACGCGTTTATGCTGCGTTAAAATGTCATTTTTTGTGGAGGAAATAAGACCTGTTTCGACGTTGACATTCATTTGATGCTCAGAAAATAACTGAGCCTGTGCAACTGCTTCATTTTCGTCCAAAAATCTACCCTACTTCATTTTAAAGTTGCACTTTTAGCTAGTATAGTTTCATATCACGTTTCCAAGCATAAAGATGTCAGAAAATAATTATAAAGCCCCTTTTTTATCAAAAGCCAAAGGATTCTAGCAAAGAAAAAGCTTGGAATATTTACAGGCTAAGACGAGTTTCCGAGGTCACACTTTTGAAAATACTCTCCAATTCACCTGCTCGAACGAGACCAGCACTTGATTTCGAAAAAGGACATGCACTTTATTTTAACGGAATTCATTACACCAATCACCATTGTTACAGCCCGAATTCCGATGTATTCCGTGTCATTGCTTGTATTTCTGTCACGCCTTCATTTCCCATCATCACACTCGACTGAGCACGGATATAATTTGAAGAGGAAATAATAAAACTAGAGGAAATTTAACCTTCTTCTTCTCCTTTGTGTTTAGTTATAAATGTAAAAAAAAAAAGAATATAGAAGAGCTGGGTGGAAGAATGAGGAGAGCGTTGGGGGAAGAAACGGTGTCGGACACACGTTTCGACCAGAATGAAAACTCCAAGTGTGAAGTAAACAGGGAAAGTTCTTTTCCTGCTTTTTCTTGCATTTTTTTTAAAGTTCTCACTGCTTGCTAGTCTTGCATGGGCTCAGCACTGGAAGTAGCCCACTTCCAGGATTTTATTCTCAGCACCAGACAGAGTATATGTGAGCTTCTCATGCTGCTTGAGCACAATTTTCTTCTGATTTTTTGCAGTTTTTATTGCAATTTTTTTAAAACCAGATTCGCATCAGGATATGCGCGAAAGTTTTAAAAGAAGTGAGTCAGAGTTTTTATACAATAGGCTTCAAACAGAACATTGCTGGTGAAAAGCAATTACAGTATTGTCCCCAAAAAAATGTAAGATCCTGTGTGACAATTTCATATGTATTTGCCACATAAATCATGAAAAAATTCATTCTGAAAGTGATTACAAACTAGAGGAAATTTGTCTGTCAGAACCTTGTCTGTCATGTATGTCTGACTAAACCTCTTCCTTGCATAGCTGAGCCAAACCAAAATTGCAATTTTAAAATATCCAACATTATTGGCTGGATCTGAGATCTGCTACTGTATAGTTTTCCTCAAAGATATAGAATAAGCTTATCTTTAATCTTTCCATAATACATGATGCTCTAGCTATTTTGACAAATTCATGGCACTTCAATAAAAAATTTATCCAACTCTCAAAGGTGTCCAAGTGGTGTAACTCCTGCACCATAAATACATTAGTTTGTGCATCACCAGAGCTTCTTATGTCCAGCATTTCATATGGATAGAAATCAGCTTAAGAAAGATTTAAAAGTGCTGAAATTCAATGAAGAGACACTTTCTGAAATCTTAAAGGA